AATAATAATAATAAATAAATAAAGTGATAAAAATTAGTTTTTATTTTTTTTCCCATATATTCCTGCATTTTGCATTTGTTTGTGTTTTTTTTTTCCCAATTTTAGCGACTAGATCCACAATAATTATTAAGTCCAATTATTCAAGAAAATGGATTCAAGAAAATCAAAAAAAAAAAAATAAACACACTCCTAAGTTCGATTTAGGCGATAAACAAAAGAGTTGACCGTCTTTTCGCATGCCTAGAGCCTAGGTGGAGCACTATATAATATTATTGAGTTTTTATGCCATAGATCAAAAGTCCTTCACTAATCGTTGTTATTAACGTTAATCATGTGTACTAGATTGAATGTCATGTTTCCAATTCCACATGCCCTGCTAAATCACTGCCGTATAAATAGGACTAGTACGATTTATATATTTGTTATTTGGAATTTGAGTCCATTGTTTTTTTTTTTTTCCCGATTAATTAGCCAGTAATGAAGGTTATAAGACGTGTTAAAGTAGTTAGGTAAAATTTATTAATAAGAGTGAGACGGGTAGTAAAAAAAAAAGAAAGACAACTTACTATTCGATCACGAGAGTATTACTGAAATGAAATAATCAATTCTTATCATAAAAGATCCAAAATCGCACGAATGTAAATAATCATTCGTGATCATAACAAAAGAGGTCAAATAAAATGATTATAGGATAATAAAGTTTATTTCAACCATTGAATTTCATTTATATTTGAAGTTGTGAATAAGAGTCAATGGACTGCAACTTCAATTTGATTATCTTGTTGAATTTATTTCAATTAGTGAATAGAAGAAAGTTGGTCCAATTTCAAATGTTACTAATGTTTTTGATATCTATCTGATTCTTATACTTGTTCATTTATTCAATTAACATTAATTAGTGACTAGACTTGGACCATGGGCTTCCAACGTTGTCAAGTCCAATTACAAAGGCTAATGGTTTTATCTTAGAAATGCTACACGCACCGTGGACCTACATAATAGGGTCAACCCCTAAGGCTAATATATCCATGCGTCAAGGCTTTTATTTTGAAGATGATGCCTTCCGCAATACAATTGTGAGACCGTTTGACATGATTTC